GCTAATAGGCAATTAATGGCCAATGGAGTATTCATAACTTTTAGTCATTTCCTTTATACCATTTGCACATGAAACTTCAATGAAAGATGTTTAATAACTTAATTAGGATTTAATGGTCACAAGGCTGACTTTTGTGCACAAGCAAATATATAGAGTTATATTTAATAATAACATATGTTTAAAGCTTTTAAATACATTATCATTTTATGTGGCCTTTATTTTTCTCCTTTATTTTTATTTTATTTTTAGTTGGAGTTAAGGTTTCGGCATCATGTGTTTGGTAATTTGAATTGTTTTCATTTATTTGACATTAAATTATATTTAATAATTATTTAATTTAATTTATCTTTTTCACCAAAAATTGAGTTTGACCATAATTAAAAGGCTTTGACCTCTGCATAACTATCATCACATGTCATATATTTATCTTTAGTTAGAGATAATCTTAACAATGCTTTTAGTTAGGTGATCTGGTGATAAACAACAACAGAGGTTGTGTGTACCTTTTTTTTATAACTTATATATTGTTTTTCCACATAGGTTATAAGTACTCATGTTGACTTATGACATGTGTGTGGAAACAACATAGAGATTGTATAAGTCAACATGAGTACTTATGACCTATGCGTGGGAACAACATATACAAGTTACAAACATCCTCTAAGCAAGTTGGAAACTTCATCAAAGTGTGACCTTATCTTTATATTCATGCACTTATGATCAAGTTTTCCATTTCTATGTTACAAAGTTTTGGCTTGGCACATGAGATTTCTGCTTTCTACGAAATCTTGTTACACATGGTGGCTCACATCCAAGTTTATGTTTGAGAGTTAAGGTTTTGAATGTCCACACATATGATTAAGTTGTCGTAAAGCATCATCAAGATCTTAAGTTCTTATTTAACAATTTGTTTTTATTTCCTTGTATATTTGAGTTATTTCTTACACTAACCTTACCATAAGTCTCTCATTGACAAGTTAACCTTTCATGTTTAGTGCTAATGGTGTTACAAAACGAGTAGGGTAGGGTACATGCCACGCAGGCTAACACAACTACTTTGAAAAATTATCCACGTATGGACCTGCGTCTAATACGGTCTTGACAAAAGCTCCACTATGCTTCTATATAGTTTGGACGATCAACATTGACTAATTACAATAGATAATGAGACCTACTAGCAAATAAGCACCAAAATAACTCCATCAATTTTTTAAAAAAATCAATCTAGGCACCATAAGTTGATTTTTGAAAAAAGATTTGAAACTACTTTCATAATTTCCTGAGGTAACACAAACTTTCTATGAATTTTCTTAGATTAAACCAGATTTTAGAATTTTTTTCATTACTAAAAATTATTTGAATAAATATTGTTTTTTTTGAAATTTTTAGATCTAAAAATATTTCTAGCCTTATTTACCTCACTAAACTTTGAACTTAGCCCGATTACCACCTCTGACGTGGCGTCACATAGACAAAACCACCATCAAAAGCACCAAGGCGAAAAAAAACAAATGGTTTTAAAAATTGACAGGGGTGTTTAAAACTAGTTTTACAATTGATAGAGAAAAATTGAACAATCATGATAGTTGATGGAAGTAAATGAGTCCTTTTCTAAAAAAAAATCAGCCCGTGCCCTAGCCCATAATATATTGGTTGCTCGGTCTATGGCAACGGAACAGGATACTTTCATGGCTTTTGTTTTCTTCCTTCTTTGCTTTACTCCTCTTCTTATGTGAACTTCGCCATTCATCAAAGTGGCGTCTAGTCTTCATGCTTGACATATTTCTAACCTATAGCTACTCTTAAACAATATGCCAACTGGTTTAATTCAGTTACCGTAAACTAAAATAATTTGGCTGATTATGACAAACTAACTAGCCAAATTACACCATCAACATTGGGCTTACAAAATATCAGTATAATTCACTCCAATGGCACAACACTCCGTGAATACCTTACATATCTCCTACTTCGCACAACATTCCTATATTTATGCTACTAACATCAACGCAAGTGGTTACACTTACACCACCTGATTTTTTTAGAAAATGGAAGAAACTTCCCGCTTCTACATTACCGCACATAGCGTTCACATTATTACATACTCCCTCTGTCCTGTAATATAGTGCATCATATGAATTTTAAGACAAATTAAGAGAGAACATAAAATACGCATGTATCCTTATTTTATTTCCTAATCAGACGCTATCATCAACGTGATTAATGATAATTGGTTGATAAATGAAAAGTATTTAATGTAAAATTGGTTTTTGTCCTCTAGAATGCATTATATTTAAGGACAATTTTTAAGTGCTAGAATGCACTATATTACAGGACGAAGAGAGTAGTTTCAGTCAGGGAAACAAGAAATGCAAAAATTATGCATGCCAGAGTCTTATTAAATTTCCACCCATGAGAAGCAATAGCTCCAGCGTAGTGGTCTCTAATTTTCTGCTAGCTAACTAGAAAGACTTCTTTGTTTCATCATCATGTTGCAATAGTGCCCAAAACCGTAGCCAATATGTTTCCCTGGAAATAGACTGCATAAAAGATGTATATTTGTAATTTTGAAAAAAATAGATCATTACAACATTTCCAAATTGCCCAACGTAAAGCAACTACCCCAACCAAAATATATTTTTCTCTTTTAAAATCAAAATTCGATAGCCAACTCCCTGCCATGTGGGATACAGAGCTGGGAGGGGTTAACCCAGTAGCTATATAGATAGTCCTCCATACTGTCTTGGCATGATGACAATCAAAGAAAAGATATTTAATGGTTTCGTTGCAATTATAGAAACAACACTTTTGACTACCTTTCCAATTCCTATTAATGAGGTTGTCCTTTGTTAAAATTACCCCTTTTGGAGATACCAAAGGAAAATCTTGATTTTTAGAGGAATTTTTAACTTCCAAATCAATTTATGAGAGAATGGTGTATTCTGATTTATCATGTGAAGATACATAGAGTGGACCGTAAATTGACCATTGTTATGTAAGTTCCAAATAAACAAATCATTCTCATCAGTTCAATTGATATGAGTGATCTTGGCTACTAGCTCTTCCCATTCATAGTTTATCCCCCACCAGAGCTCTCCGAAAAGAAACATTCAGTGGTGTTGATCTCATAATATTGGCCCTGTATCGTACGGACGATTTGTAATATTATACACCGCTGGATATAAGGTCTTTGAATGGGTGGTTACCCACCCATGTATCTTTCCAAAATCTTGTTTGTGATCCATCATTAACTTTAAAGGAACCACATGCCAAAACCTGATCTTTTATTTACACCACCTGATGCAGTCACCTACCAAACTATCTCACAGTAAAAACACACCTACTGAATCAAATGAACAACATCATCGAGGCTTGGTTTCTCTCACACAACAGGCAGCGACCAGCGATGCATGGCTTCCTTGGAGCTTTAGTGGCTCATTGATCACCGCATCCACTTCTCTAGCCTTCTCCACTGGTGAGCTAAACCCATCAGTTCCTGAGTAGAAGTAGCACACCTTGCACATTTCCCAGAACAACTCCTTGCAGGGCCTAGGAACAGCACCTTCTTCACGAAGAACTAGTCTTAGGAGGTCTCTCCTGCATGTGTCTATAGGCTTCTGTAACTCCCTTCTAGCCTCTGATATGGATGTGCAGCCACCATGAAGAACGAGGAGAGAAACACTGTTCAGCTTGCCCTCGCCGTACTCCCTCTGCAACAGTACATCAGTTGATCACTATGTGTCAACTGGCTTCATATTTTCAATATACAAGGCTTCCCTTTTTCTCGATTACAAATGAAAAGGCTTTCTGAATGCATGTCAACTACTGGAAACTAAAATTTTCCTATCGGTGCAAAACCGATAGGGGATATGAAACACTGACAGGAAAATACAAAAAACAATTTTCTTGTCGGCTTTTAAATTTGTTTGTCGGTATTGAGTACCCGACAAAATAATTCATGCTTTCAGGAGTATTTCCGTTTCCAGTGGTGCAAGACTAAATTGGTAGTATTTAATATATATACCATGTTCCTATACCTATCAACACACAACTACCCGTAATTCTCTATGCTAATTAATCCCACTATTACTTTCATGAGGGTAACAAGCTTGTCATGAAAATGAAGAGTTGCAACCCAGTAATTTACCTCGAATGTCTGAACATCATTCAGGAGCCGGCCACATGTGCTCATTAGCCTAAACAACTCGTTGTATTCTGGATCTTTAACGACAGACTCCGGGATCTTTGGCCCAACAAAATACAATGCTGGCAATACAATGGGGCCTAATGTGAATGTTAAAGACGCATTTGTCATGTATTCCTACTCTGTTGGCACATAATTGCTCATCCGCCACTCTACCTCTGTCATCATAAACTTTAGCAAATCCAACCACTGCACAAGCCGTTCAAAACCAGTCAGTACTCAGCTGAAAAGAAAAAAAAAAGGAAAACTGGGACTTACTATTTGTATTAGGTGTTTGGTAACATTGTGGTCTTGTAGCAAAGAAGCCTTTGCTCCAAGCTGGTTAACTGAGTTGTAAATCGAAGAAAATACAATCTCTACTTGTTCCGTGTAGAACTCAATTTTGTGATGTTCGTCCCACCTATAATTAAAAACCATTGAAAATAGAAGAGTTAAATTATAATAAGGATGATGATGCACTGATGCACAAGACATCGTGGTAAAAGGACGAGGACCATACGTCTCAACCAAAGTGACAAGGTTTTCAAGTTCTTCTTTTGATCCTCCAACATCAAAGAAGTCATCGACAATGGTTGTGAGCACACCATTTTTGGCCCACAAAATGCGAGCATAAGACAGTTCAGGAGGGAACATGGTTCCAGCAGCAGACAAGTAGAAGTATGCCAACTTCTGCCGTGCAAATGGTAGCTGGTCCAGCCTGCACTCTTTCACCCAGCTGCAGCAACAATATTTGCAACCCACAAATAAGCTAAACTAGGTTTGACATAGGACAGGAGTGCATAACAATCTGATTTACCTTTCAAGTTGCTGAAGTTCTTGCTGGTAAGTAAACTGAGAGGAACTGAAGTCTCTGATAGCCAACGCTAGAATATCTCTGCTAGTATATCGACTGGACCTGTTTCAACATTAATATTTAGTATCATCAATGCAAGTATCTGCATTACAATGGTTTAGTGAAACCTTACTATGTGGACTGGGAACTTACAAGTATGTTGTCTCTAGCATGTGGTGGCTTGTAACGTTGAAATTTTCGATGGTCCACCTGTGGTCTAGACGGTCCAATGTGGTGTAGAAGGGACAGTCTAGAGCATGTTCCACCTGAAAAGAAAATAAAAAATTAGCGTTAAACATATATATCTAATCTTTCCAAATTCTAAACGTGACAAGAACAGTAAATCACTGAAGCATACCTCTCTAAAGAGTGTAGTTCTCCTTAGTGCACCTCTAGACCCCAGCTGTTCCCTCAGTAAGGTACCTGACCATGAGCCAATGGTATCCAGGATAAATTCATCTTCTGAGATACTAACTGTAGAAGCCTTGTGTGATTCTAAGAAGGTTCTTGTATCATTCAAATATCCTCCAAGTGAATCATTATGGAACCCGGAAGCTTCAGCAACATGATACAGCTCATCTGTAACACATTTTTATGTGGATAAGTGTTGATTAAGGGACAAAAGTTTAAATCCATCTGTTAAAAGTGTCAAACTTTTCTATAAGGTCCAGAAAAATAATACCAGAAGAGACATCGTATCCGTTCATCCTTAGAATACGAAATGCCATCGCACATGTCGCTGTGTCCACCATAATTTCCTCATGCGTCTGTAACCAACATCTGTCAAATGACTGGTTAAGTACATGTGTTTCTAATATGAGGGCAAGGAATGAGTAATACGTGTTCAAAATTCACTACTAGAAACGGAAAATTCCTTGACGGTGCAAAAACCAACACGAGAAAGCAAAAGCCTATAGAAATTTTTTTTAAATAACTGAAAGGGCTAAACAATTTTTTCCTGACGGTGAACAGACAAAGCTAACTTGTTTGTTAGTTCATCGTTAGAAATAATTTCCTGTGGATCTTCGGATTTTCCTGTCGGTTTAAACAGTGCCGACAGTATTAGTCGCTAATTTTCCTGCTGTTCCCGCCAAAAACTAACAGAAAAATTGTTCCCCACAGGATATTCTGGTTTTCAGTACAGTGTTGCATTGGTACCTGTATGTCCTGTCAAGGACACGCTTGATTTCACCAGCAAAATACCGAAAAATCCCCATGTTCTCAAGCACATCGACTTGCTGGAGCTGCTGCCTTATCGTAGTCTCCGATGCTCCCTTATCGTGTTGCTTGCTTCTGCCAGGGCTATCTGAAGCAAGAAACCGTTACATATATGCTGAATTGAAGTCTTTTTATACACATACACACGAGCTTGGATTCTTACAGGTTTTCGCAGACTGCTTGTCTGCGCGATCTTGTGCTACTTCCAATGGCTTCTCAACGTGTACCACTTGAAGAAAAGAAGCCCAGCAGATGGGTGTCAGTAACACGGAGTAACACTACACGTCGGAGCGACGTGGTGAAAAAAAAAATCCAACAAAACGGTACCATGTGAATGAAAAAAAAACTCTTATATCTGCTGTCACGTATGTAGATTTTTTTTTAAGGAAACCACCTGGCACACTTTATTGATTCAAAAATAGTGTTACATAGTTCACCAGGGCTTCAAGTATGAATCTAGAGGTTCATCGACCCAAATACAAGTATGCTTTGACTGAATAGCTAAAGTTACTAAATTATGCGTTACTTTATTAATATCTCTATTATGATGCTCAATGAAAATTGAAGAAAAATCCTGCCAAAGCATCTTACGTTACAAGAACTTTTGCAAGTATAAAACAATGATCAAGGTCATGTACACACATGGATTTGGCAACGAAGACATTCACAGTCACGTATACGTGATTTGAGAATGAGATTACATGCACGAAAAAAATGCTCAGCAGCTATGGCTAATTAAATTATTCCATGTCTAAAGTTACAAAATAAAAAAAATACTATATGTAATAGATCACACATGCATCGATTAGATCTAGAAAATATAATTTATATCTAAAACTTTCCTTAAGTATCCTAATTTACTAAATTTATAAATAAATAAATATATTTCATCTATTACCTTCTAAGAAATAATAGGCGATTCTAACCATCCGATCTAATTAAATAAACAGCTCACAATCATTAGAGGGTACCACAGCAAAATCCAAACAAAAAAAATAGAAACACTTAGCCACGGTCGTCCGTCCCGTCGACTCCCAGTCCTGACCAACCTCTCAAAAAAAAAGAAAATTTCCCCACTCGGGGTGTAGTGTCCTCCTCAGCTGCTCCAATCCCCTCACCGCATAGCACCTCCGGCTAACCCCGCCGCCGCAAGATCCCGTAGGAGGGCGCTCTCTCTTCCCCGCTCCCTCCCCAGCATGAAGCGCATGCTCCGGCGTCTCTTCCACGTGGCCGGCCCTTTCCGCGCTACACCTTCTCGTAAGGCACCCAGCCCCTTCCCTTGCTACTCCGCGCGCCCGTGCCCCACCACCATCCAGCGTCGCGCCCCATCCACCTTGCCCATCACAGAAGGGGGCATGGGAGGCCTGCGCTTGGGAAGGCCTGTGCCAGCGCTTGTGCCCCCATCCACCTCGCGCCGTTAGCAGGAAAGGGGAGGCCTACGCCACCGCAGTTCTCCACCAGGTAGGCCATGCCCGCCGACGATGCTGTGTTTTTTCAAGTGTTTTCATGCGTTTTCAGACATGTTGCAAGTCTATGTTTCAAGTGTTTTAGTTGTTTCATATATATGTTTCAAGGGTTTCATAGGGATGTTGCAAAAGTAGATCGAGATGTTGCACATGTTGTAATGGCTATACACGCATGTTTCAGGTGTATGTTCCAAATGTTTCATCTGCTCCAAACGAATGTTGCAAGTGTGTTATCTGGATGTTGCATATACATGTATGTTGCAAGTATATGTTTCAAGTGTTTTCAGGTGTTTCATACATATGTTTGCAAGTGTTTCATCTGGATATTGCATATGTTTGCAATGGTTGTCGAAGGTTTTTCCAGGCGTCTTTTGCAAGTGTTCTTCTTTTGTATGTTGCAACTGTTGCATCTGAATGTTTTAAAAGTAGATCAGGGTGGATGCGCATGGAAAGCGGTCGGAGGCGCAGACGATGTCCGAGGTGGCGTGGGCGATGTCCGGAGCGATGCGGGCCCACAGCTGTTGCGCTCACTCGTGCGCCCAATGCGCTAGACGCTAGCTCACTCGTGCGCCCGATCTACTTTTGAAACATCCAAATGCAACAGTTGCAACATGCAAAGAGACAGATTAAACACTTGAAATATGTGTCTGGAACACTTGCAAAAACACTTGAAACACTTGAAAATCATTGCAAACATTTAGATGAAAACACTTGCAACAGACGTATAAAACACCTGAAAACACTTGAAAAATACGCTTATAACATGCATGTATATGCAATATCCGGATCTACTTTTCCAACATGTAGATGAAAATACTTGCAACATACGTCTGATACAGATGAAACATTTGGAACATACACTTGAAACATACGTGTATAGCCATTACAACATGTGCAACATCATCCCGATCTACTTTTGCAACATCCCGATCTACTTTTGCAATATCAATACAAAACACTTGCAACATACCTCTAAAACATCTGAAACATATGTTTGCAACATGCATTTTTTGCCCTTCTTCTTCTTCCATGCAACGCAGAGCAGAGCTGGGAACGGCCAGGCCCGGCTAGCCGGCGGCAGAGGATGGTGGCGTGGCCTGGTAGCGGCCAGCTGCGCTTGCGCCTGGCCTAGGTTCGGCCAGCGATGGCCTTCTCTCTTGGCCGCCTGGCATGGCGCGGCGGGGGATAGAGGCGTCGCGGAGGATGGGGCGTCGCAGGGGATGGTGGCGACAACGTGCCGGAGTGGGGCGCACCACGGGATTGTCGATGTTTGACCACCGATAGCCTGCCACGGGGGTACCCGGGGCAATTTGTTCGGGCTTCAGCGTATGCGGAACTCGATGGTAAACGCAAGAGACAGTCGATTTATCCTGGTTCGAACCCTCGATCGTGATCGAGTAATAGCCCTACGTCTAGTCGGCGTTAGCCTTTGCGTTGGATTGATTGTCATGTGTTGTGTCATCCAAGTCCCCTCTCTAGGAACCCTGCCCTCCTTTATATATTCAGGAGGCCAGAATCCTAGTCGGTTTACAATGAGAGTTCCTAGTAGGATTACAGAATAATACTACTACTAAGATTATATGGGGAAGAATCCTAGTTAGACTAGATCTTCTCCCTTCCTTGCGGGGTATCCCATGGGTCCCGCACCGATAAGCCCTCGAGCACTTCATGGTTGAGCTCTAGAAGCCTCGTCTTGTTCCTTCAGGTCTTGCCGAGCAGGAACATATGTCGTCCGAGTGCTTTCTTGAGCGAAACCGTGTAGCGCTTCGTGAGATCTTCGCATGGTGTGTACCTTTTTGAAGAAAAAAGTACTCTTATTTGGGTGTAGCCCCCAGCCTCATGCTATTTGGCACAAGGAGCTGGAGGGTCTTCTCTTGAAATTGCTCTTATTCTTTATCGAAGGGCTCCTGAGCATATACCCGGGTTCTTTATCAAAAAGAGCTCGGATATAGCTAGGTCCGGGTTCTTTTTGTTGTGAGGCCTTGAAGTGGTCTGTCTTGAAGAAGTCTTTTTGGTGACGTGCGCTTTTTTGAAGAAAAAAGGGCACTCACTGAGTGTAGCCCCCGAGCCTCTTACAATTTAGAACAAAAAGTTAGAAGGTCTTGAATCTTATGTTGAAGTGGTCTGTCTTGAAGAAGTCTTCTGGGTGATGTGCGCTTTTTCAAAGAAAAAAGTGCACTCACTGAGTGTAGCCCCTGAGCCTCTTGCTATTTGGAACAAATAGTTGGAGGGTCTTGATTCTAAGTTGTTCAAGTTACTAAAAACCTCTTCTGTTGCAGCCCTGTCTTGAATCTGAGTTGTTTAAAGGACTGAAAGCCTTTCTTATTACAGCCCCCGAGCATATACCTGGGTTCTTTTATCCGAAAAGAACTCGGATATAGAATCTTGGCATGTTCTCTGGTAGTCTGCTGTTGTCAGATGTAGTTGTATGGTGGTGGTTGATAGTAAATGCTGTTTGTTCATGAGTTGTACAGTGTTGGTATATTCTTCCGACTATGCTCGTTCTTGAGTACTGCTTTTTCACGCCTGAGTCCTCTTTCATTGAATTCTGTCTTTTCACTGTGTCCTTTGTTAGGTTTGTTCCGTTGGTGCTCCCGGTCCATGTGCTCCGCTTCTTTGGCCTATAAATATCCTCCTTGTGTGCTATTTTGATTCATCGAGCATTTTGTTGCATGGTCTGAAATCTTCGTAGTCATGAATATGGTAGTTTGTGAAGTAGAGCAGTCCCCGGGCGTATTTTGTAGTTCTTGTGTATCTTGTCATAGCTGGAGGGAGTCTTGTGATAGGGATTAGAGGTAGACTAATCCCACAGCGGCATTGTACCAGGAAGTACGTGGCGGTAGTTGGAGGAAGTCTTGTGATGTGGGATACGTTCCTTCATCTAGCAGTTCTGGGTTGATCCTCGCCGCTTGCCCTGAGACTGTCCGGTGCAGATCAACACCATATCCAGCATCACATCGAACTTGGGTAGACAGATGTCTACCGGCTTCCCCTGGTCTATGTTGTCCCGCCATGCTGCTGAGTTCCACCTTGGATGCACTGCGTCCGTCCTTTAAAGAAAACAGTGTAGCCAAGAGCGGTTTGTTCTACCGAGTAGCAATTTGGAACACGTAGTCGTTCCAAAGCCTAGCTGTGTCCGGGTTCCTCTTTGCTACCTTGCTTGTCATAGTACCGAGTTCATTGGGTCTTGTAAGATGTGTAATCTTGTATTTTTGAAGTCATTTGTAATGGAAAGAATCTTGTCTTCTGAGTTGTCATTCTTTATTCTGTTGATGTCCCGGTTGTTTATGAGATTCCCGAGTTCTTTCTATAAGGACCGGGTTGTTGTGTTTCTTGTGAGGTAACCCTTCGTTGCTTTATGGCTGATGAGTTCTTTTTATAGCAATATGATAACTCTGTCGTGTTGCTGGATGGATAAGTCCAAAATCTGCTCGTTGAACTGTACCGTTGTGTGGATTTGTGTCGTTCGTCTTTTTAGTTGTGTCAGTAAATGGACCGTTGCGTTCTCATGCCATGTTTAAACAGGCCTGGTG